AATACTTACAGCAAGTGGAAGGCTTTCCTATCTACTACGCGCTATGCAAGTAAACAATGCTTTTTATTTGTCTCTTTTCTCTACTTGCTACGTAAGCACACGATACCAAGAAGTATGAGTAATTCCTAGCGGCGGTGATGATCGTTACGAACAATACTTTTATTTTTGTGTCAAACCAATAATTCTTGTCGCATCGATGAAAGGAACGTTTGAAATATCAGGGCATCTGCATACTACCACCTGATAGACTGGGTGTATCGCCCTCAGTTTCGATTCCAGGCGAACCGATCTTGTTTATGATTCTTTATGATTACGTTCTTAAGATGCCTGATGTCTTTTTGTCAATAGTGTGTCAGTCCAGCGACGTCCTCCAGAGGATGATAATTCTGTCAGTTCGGGCGTTGAATACAGATCACAGCAAAGAACGAACATCTCAACAGTTGACTCAAATTCCACTTTCAAGGGCTAAAATGAAAGGAATGTCGCGAGTTTTTTTTATCACAGATATCTTGGTGAATGTCTTGTCAGGTACTTAGACCCTACCCATCCTTAACAAGTAGGGTTAGGGTCTGGTAGCTCGCGTGACGTTCGCGCGCCATCGGTTTTCGAATGTCACGCGAGCTGGTGCTTAGTCATGCAACACTTTAAGTCATAATTCTTCCGCCTGTGTCGGCCATGTTGGTCGGCCAACAGTCAAGCATTAGTGAAACTCTACATCATTTTCGCGCTACAGAAGACCCATATATTCGGAGAATATGTCTTAAATCGATTATTGTGACCTTATATTTGATATAAGTACGAAAATTGGCCAAAACCAATCATAAAGATTGGTTTTTATGTGTAGAAAGCAGATCTCAAAAGACAGTGGAAGAACCACTCAAAATGCACTCGGATTATTTGAAGACCTTGAGAAACAGTATAACCTCGGAATCGATCGGTTAGGAATTTTGAAACAGATTTTGAAACAGTTGAAGAAGCGATCCATACTCGAGAAGGTGGAAGGGTTTGAGATCAAGAGAAAAGGTGACCAATTAATGCTAGTCATATTTGTTTTGAAATTTAGCGAAGAAAATTTGAATGGCCGGAAGTGCCTTTTAGCCTGAGAAGTTCAGTTTAAGGCTTACAACTTCTTCACTGATTGCAAAGAAAATGATTTCTTGTTAAGAGGGATTATGTATTAATTTGATAATTTCATTTTGGATTTTCTTATTTTTGAATTTATTTTTCTGATTTGTAATAATTCAGTTATGAGAAATTAATCTGTGGCCCAAATTCCGTTTTTCAGGGTGTTTGCCATGGAAAAGAAAATTTGATAAGTTCAGGTATGCATTAAAAATTTAAAAAATATTATATTTTAGCACATTTGTAATTAATAATGGTAATAGGGTTGAGTAGAGTTCAATTTGGTCTGTAATCACATCTAGTGATTAACAAAATTGCATGACCGTGAAGCAGTCACAAGTATAATTACAGACAGAATTGGAGAACACAAAGTTAACTGTTACCAATTAATCATAACTGTTACAATTTCTGAAAAACAGATAGACTTAGGACAAACATCTCTGGTGAGACAGTGTCTAAATTAAAAAATTCCTCAACTTTGGAAATTCCACAACTTTTTAAGGATAAGTGGTTGTTGCTATGGTTATTGTGATCAAATCTGTGGTGGATTTGACTGAAAGGACAAAATATGATTGGCTGCCTCAACTGTCTGATTACAGGTGTCCGATTACAGCCAACTATGCGATTACACTGTCTGATTACAACTCTACAAAATGATTAGTGAAAAATAAAGCAGCTACTGCTCCAATCACATTTGAAGAAATTGTAATGGTCATGATTAAATTTATAAAGAAATAATTCATGGACTTAGACCCTTAAAAGAGCTACATTTACATCTAGTAATGAAATGAGGAATTTTGATGTTTTTTTTTGTATATTACAGTAAGCATGTTATTTTGTTCCATTGTTCAAAATAGGTATAAGTATCCAAAGGATAAACTTCTAACTAGCTTTAATGCTTTTATAATCGGTCCAAGGGATTAGATCTTTGGACTAGGCTTCAGATTAAGATCTCTTGGAGCTCTACTCTGTGTTTGAATGTGTAACCTACATACACATGGAGGGTAAAATTGTTGTGGTTATCCACATTTAATGGGTAATCCATGTTTGTCAGACTTAAGCTCAGGGGACTCACATTTCATTATTCTCCTACTCACCAGTAATCTGGTCTTATAATCAATCAACCCAAATCGCCTGTCATATTTCTGTACTTCCATCACAAACCTATCAACAAATTCAATGTAACAGACATGGTTTGATGCTACTCTGGTTTAAAGATTTAATGAATGTAACCAAAGAAATTATAATATATAGACCCAACATTTTGACTCTCCTGTATAGTGCCTTCATCAGGGTTGATCTAATTGCTGCAACAAGAGGTCCTTTTATACAATCACTGATTAGCTGCCTTTTTTCTGATGAGGTATAAATAGGCTTCAGTTACCATGCCAAGCTTCCAAACAAAGGCTCCAGTGGTAACACCGATTAGTGATGATAATTTTAGACTTATCCCACCCAATTATATGGTTAGTTAGGCATGTGTGCTCCGATAAAACTCAATTTTTTGTTTTTTGCAAAAGAAAATCACTTTTTGATGCTCTTTCAAATGTGTACCAAACTGATGTTTGGTCTGTCTGCTTGAACATGAAAAGGATAGGCATTTGCCCTTTCTTGATTCAAATTTTTCCAGAAGGTTTCCAGGGAATTTAGAGACAAGTGTCTATTGTAAACCTACCCACATGGGCAAATACCATGCTTTCGATTCTCACCACCCTATTTTCTATAAAAAGTCTGTGGCCAAAACTTTTCTCAGGAGGGCTGACTGTCTACCATCTTCACTTGATTTGAAGGCTGAGGAGAGGAAATATGTTTCTAATGTCTTAAAAGCAAATGGCTATACAAAACTTATCCCTTCTTAGGGTTCACCTATCGTGTCAAGAATAAAGACTTTGAAGACTGGTTTTTAGTTTATAGTGATAGAGTTGGAGGAAAGTAGTTATCAAAAGCTATGATCCACTGAATACAAGGATTTTTTCTGGCTTTTCACTGACATTTTTTCTGCTCCAATTGTGACTTTAACATGATGAGCTGTAAAAGGGGAAAGAAATTGTCAAGGCAGCCTGAATGGTTTGATACCCAACTAACTTTTGGGGACATTGACATTGAATGTGCTCCGTGACCATGTTGGCTGGGTGTTCTGCATTCTAGCTGTACAGTAGTAACAAGGTGCTGTCTAAGTGGATTGATAACACCAATCATTCACTTCATAAAAATGAACACAAAGGTTTAAGCTCTGATCTTTTAACCCTTTTCACCCTAGTGTCAGTATGGATATTCTCCATACTTAATTTTCTCTATACATTTCTTAAGGTGCTGCATGATAAGGAGAATTTATTTAACAATCAATAGGTTCTTTAGTTAATAACATTTCCTTTATTCTAGTAATCTTCTTTGATTCAGAGGCAATATTGTAAGGAGAAATTAGATGCTGGTCACTCTTAGGGGTCAAAGGTGGAACATAAAATAGTCAAAAGAAGGGATGACACCAAAATACAAATGCATGCTGATTGGCTGGTTGGAAATTGATTGGCAAGTACTATTTACCTATGAGCAGCTGAAGTGACAAAATATGTCGACAATTTAATTTCTGACCATTTTTCAGTACATTGACAGAAATAAACTAATTTTAATTTGCTAAAACAATGATTCACCTCAGTATTGTTGAAAGTGGTGTAATTGTTAATTACTTCAGATCAAAAAACACAAAGGGGCTGCCAGAGCTTGGATGCAAATCTGTTGACCTGATATTCAACACACCACCAACCAATTTGCCACTTGTGTCCTCTACTGATAAATAAGCATGCTTTAAGTGGCATAAGTGTATACTAAAACAGTGGATATCATTGAAGGCGCATTTTGATTGGCAGCTCATTAACTCTGAATATCCTTTGCTATTGACTTCAAAATATCCTTTGTTATTGACCTTCAAGCACTTACGTGTGCAGGATTTGTGCCTGAAAAGATTGTAATTGTTTGTTGCTGGAATAAAGGAGTTAAAATCATCTTTTTGTGCTATATTATCACATTGTATAGTAAATATTAAAACATTTTTTACCCCAGTGTGGGTGGCTGGTGGTGAATATTTACCTCACTATATTGCAGCTCAGTAAATATCTATAACTAGCCACCTCCACTTTATAAATAAGTTCAGTAATTCATGTCTGCTTTTTAATGTTTACAGGGATTTGGTAATGTTGGTCTTCACACCTGTTGTCATCTTCACCATGCAGGAGCTAGGTGTATTGAGATCATGGAGAGAGATGGAAATCTCTTCAACGCCAATGGAATAGATCCTAAAGAACTTCAGAACTAAAAACTGGTACAATGCGTAGCTTTTTACATTCAGAGTTCTCTACTGTGTTTTTTTTATAAGTTTTATTTTAAAATTTCTTTAGCTTACCTTTGTCTATTAATGTTTCCCTTTTACTCCAGGACAATAATGGCTCAGTTAAAGGATTCCCAGGTGCAAAGGTTTGTGAAATGCTGTGAACAAAATAACCATGATTTTAACCTCTATGTAAGGTTTTGCTAATTTTTTATGGCAAATTAACATTTTTGCTTAGGTTTACTGACTCAAGGAAATGCTGCTCTATCGATTCTGGTCATCAAAGTCCTTAAATGATGAATAATGAAACAAACACTGGGGACATAAATTTTTTAATGAAGTAGCTCCTTCCTCCTAGAATATAAGCAAGTTGAAATGTTATATGCTGGTTTACCTGAGACCTTGAGAATGGATTAATGCTTTCAAGTTAACATTCTGTTCACCTCCTACTCAGTTGGAAAAAGTCTCAAAACCTCAGGTGCTGTCAAGTGACATTAAATTATAAAATAAGTAATTGTAGACATTGGTTTTGAAATATATTCATTTTTATGCAATGTTTCAGATGACTGAGGAGAACTATATGCATGGCTGCTTGTTGGGTGTTACAAAGACCCTTCTTTACAAATGGTTCTCAGCAACTAATCACAAGAAGCCATACTTTATTGGAGGACAGGTACTACTGAATAAATTATAACTGCAGGTTATGGCAAATGTGCAGACTCTCACAGCTCAGTTAAGATTTGAGTGTTTCATTTGTTTGACTTAAGTAATTATATTTTTTAATCATGGTCAATGTAAATGTACACATTTGACAGAATGGAATAGAGGGCAATATAGCTGTGTTCTTGTGAAAACAGCTTCTACTAGATTCACATGATAGAATTCATTTGGTCATTTTTTGTACCTATTGTTTGCAAGAAATATAGTTTGACAAACACTGAATAAATTGCAGGTCAAAGATGTCAATAAACGAATACTAAAGATGAGACCCCCAGACTTCTTGGCACGTCTACCAAGAGACATGGAGAAACATTTCAAGAACTTGAAAGGTGTGTACTTTAATGGAACCGTGACTTGTTGATGCTGGGAAGTAACATTAGGCATCAACAAACTATTTTTTTTAAGCTTCAGAGTTGCAGTCTTGGTTGCTGTATTATTCACTTCCATGCTTAGTTGGTTACCTTCCTGATAAGTACCTGTGCCACTTTGCATATTTGGCAGAGGGGGTATACATTCTTCTTGGGGATGGAATAACACCAGTACAGCTTGCAAGAGCTCGTGATCTCCTGCAGACATTCTACAAGGATTTTCAACATTTGTATGGTAAGAAAACTCAATGACAGTCTCAACTCTACATCCCGTTCCTGATTTCTTTTTATAACCATTACACTGTAGGCTTGATAACCCTGGCAGTACCAGTTTTCTATGTGCTTTATTTTGCTGCTGTTGTTGTTGTTTTTGTTTTAAGGTTACTTGTCCCAGACTTGTTTCACTCTGCCAAACAAATATTCTCACACCATTGTCCAATATCTTGAGTAATAATAACATAAATTTCAATGAAAGAGGAGAAAAAGCAGTAGGAGTACTAATAATACCCCTAGGGCTTTTATTATTTATTGTTGGTAAAAGAAATAACAAAAAATCAATCACTTTTGTAGCATTGCTACCCAACAAAGAGAAACTGGTTTGTGGCTCAGAAGAATTTTTAAGATTATGTTTATATTGATGGGCTAACAGTGTTATGCCTCTGTCCATATGTGTTAATAGAAAAAGCTAAGCTATTGTAAAGTGTCTTCTTGGGGTAAATTCACCCATTTACTGGTCAAAAAAAGGGCATAACCCTAAACAGTGTGTTTCCCCCACATTTAAAGGGAATGGCAGTTGTGGTCTCAATGTTCACAATACTGGTGCCCATCTGGCTGACTATGTTGAAGGATGGGGTCCACTGTGGGCATGGTCCACCTTTGGGTTTGAGGACATGAATGGAACCATCATGGACTTGACACATGGCACAGGAAATGTCTGTAGACAGGTACTTTTAACAGACAGTTAATTTACACCTAACACCTTTACACCATTCACCTCATGGTCACCTCGTTAATTTGGTCAGCTTGTTATTACGGTCAATTTGTTTTCCAAACAAAACAAATACAGTACTTGAAAAACAATATTTAACTTAAAGTAACATAATGTTAAGTCGTGACCATTGTTTTTGAGAAAAATATGTATGGCCAAGTCTGTTGTTGTTTTAACTGTAGAATTCAGTTATGTTCAGGGAAGTACCCTTGGGTACTATTGTATGCATATATTAAAGTTGTTGCATTCCAGATGTTTGTTAAATAATTTACAGTTGTTTAGAAATACAAAAGTATCTGTCAGGACCAATCAAGATATTGCTCCTACCCTGTTAATGCAGCTAAATTTTCATGAGTCCTTGCTGACTGTGTTATTAGAGTTCCACTGTCATTAATTTAAATCAAGTAAATTTATAACTTACTCCATTTGGATAAATGAATTATTAATGTGCAATTTTGAATTTGTTACTAGGTTATATGGATGCTTCATGCTCAGGGTCGCTTAAGATGTGAGGTAGATATGTTGGAGAATGGTTGTGTTAAGCACTTTATCAAAAGAATGCTGAACACCAAAAGAGAGTATGTGATATTTTGCTCTTAAGTGTACTTGTCTGATCTTTTATTGTAGTGTTAGTAATATTGATAGCAATTGTTATCATCATCAGTAACTTCTTTACACTTCTGACAACTTCTTTTTTGCTTGAAAAACATGCTGTTATTAAAGATATTAATCTACTTACTTTTTGCCATTTGTGTTTTAGAGTAAAAAATCTAAAGATGGCAGAGAATTGCTTCATTGCTGGAGGGGCTAAGAAACTGGTAGGGCTACCACAAGAGTTAATGGAGAAGATTGATATGGAAGTTAATGGAGGCAACAAAGTTAAAGTGCAACGAATTGTCAAGAATGGCCAAGTGTTTTACTCTAAAGAGTACACTAGAATGGTGAAGCGGAATGGCTATGTTGTCTTGTTTGCATGTGGCAAGGTTGGAGAGGTTGAGTGTTTTGTGTGGGATAGGCAGTCTGGGATCACATTGGCAGTCTTTAGAGAAGTACAGCCAGATCTCCAGAATCCATTTTTCTTTAGTGAGGCTGGTCATCACATATTAAGGATGAGACAAGAAAGGTACAAATGAAATTGAGCATTAGAAATTGTAATGAAAGCTGTTGAGTTCACCATCAGAACTGACTTTTTCAAAGGTTTTCATTTTCAATTACAAATTAAATATTATACCATACCTATAAAATATAGAACAATTTTGTTGATAGCTGACTCAGAAGAACGATAGGTAACCTTAAAGCTGTCATTATTGAAGTGTGACTTACAATTTTCATTTGTATGTAAAGAAGGACCTGTAATTTGCACCAAAAATAAAAAGAAGTAATATTTTAGGAGGTTCAGTGACTGAGACATTTAAGAAAGTAAGTTATGAAAAGAAACTTGGTTTGTACTTCTCACTACTAACAAGTCCTATTTTAAAATGTTTTCAGGTCCGAGTTTCAAGTAAAACGAATTGAAGAAATCAAGGAGAAGGTGTTATTTCTTGAAGGGAATGGTGACCACCTCTGTCTTGTCCGCGTGCCAAATGTTTGCGGAGTGTGTGGATAATCCTTGAGTAGTGGAACTCTTACAAAAAATGTTTTATAAGAATAAAAAGAGCAAGAAAAAAAAACAGTGACAAAAACCTTGAAAAAAAAAGATTTAATAGGTGTTGTATTTTTATTGTCCAAGGCATGAAGTTTCTACTAAAAATAATCTGAAAGAAAGGTCTCTGACAGTGTTTGAGGCAACTGAGCTTGACTGTTCCCAGGTTTTGTACCTTGGCAATTTGCATTTAACATAATTTACTGCTACTTCATGAAAAAATAAATATTAATGTTAAGATTTATTAAAACTTAGTTCGAATAATAAATTTTGTGATGTTTAAGTTATAAACATGTACATGTATCATTATCTCTTGGTAAATTTTGTATAGCATACCTTTTACTGAGCCAAAGTTTTAAGCCTCTGAAATTACTCCTTGTCTTAAAACCTTCACATTCAAGGTATTGAGAATTTCTTGGAACTTATGTGAACTTCAGGGCATTTAAACTGCCTCAAATTTTAAATTCCCAGAAATTCCCAAGAATTCCACCTTTCTTTAATGGTGGGTATTTTGTATAGCTGAGAATTCCTAATAATTCCTAGGAATTCCTAGGAATTCCTAGGAATTCCAAAGAATTCCAAGTCCTCAATAAACTGGAGTCTTCCTTTCCCAGAAATTCCCAGAAATTCCCAGTAATTCCAAGCTTTTCAAATCAGAGCTCATTTGCATAACTGGGAATTTTTGAGAATTCCTAGGAATTCCTAGGAATTCCTAGGAATTCCCAGAAAACTGGGAATTCAGTTCGCAAGGGCCCCTAGAAGGAGAATGTGACATTTTAGTTCCTGCAACCAACGAAAAACAAATCACCCTTAAAAATGCCCACAAAATCAAAGCAAAGGTACTCTGTTACTAAAAGTATTTATTTAATAATATTTGATTTTTGGGCTGTTATTTGGTTGTTAGGTTTTCAAGATTGGTTGCTCATTAGGGAGAAAGGTTATCCCAGTTTGTAGGGGAATGGGAATCTATAATAATTTGTTACACGGTTTCCTGACATATTTGGTGATGTTAATTTTCGGTTGACCTTTTAACTATCATGAGTGACATTGACACAATTACTCCTTACAATATCAAGAAGACAAGTGATGAGTATAAAAAAATGTCAATCAGGAGCTCATTAGTTGATAAAGTTCGGAAATAAGGCACGAAGAAGAAGGAAGAAATTAACACTCAACTGCGTCTCATGTTTCTCCTTCGCTTCTTTCATGCTCTGGCTGCTTCTTGCTTGCTTTACAACAGAACAGAACATAGTCAAGACTTCTTTATTTGTTAAAAGTAATTACTAGACAAGTTCACCTTTATATGAATAGTAGAAAGTGGAGACCATCAGTTAAGTCTTTTTTTTCGTCTTCTTCGCCATATGAAATAGTGAAATATGACTGAGAGCCTAAATTGCAGTTTCCTTTCAACCTCGAACTCCCATCACGACCAATTTTACCTTTTTTTGAACTGCATAACTTTTTTCTTCTTCTTCTTTACTTGATTAGCTACCAGAGACAGCTCACCTTCATAGGCATTTTTTTATTGTTTAACACTTTTGGTGACCTCTTTGTATTGCTTAAAGTCATTATGGGTTTTGAATGTCCCCTTAGATACAAATGTATTGTACAAGTGCTGTTATTTGATAATCTCTTAGTGTTTCTGCATGTTTGTCTCTTCTTCGACAGGTAGCGTCCCAGACAGCCTGTATAATCATTTCAAGGAAGCCATTCCAATCAAACCACCGGCTAAGTTCTTGCAAAAGATCGCTGTGAGCATTGCTTTTTATTTTATTTATTATTACGCACCACAGAGTTGGATCTGGGGATGGGTGCGACAACTCCGCGGCCCTCCCCCCCTCTGATGACCTACGGCTTTTTTATATCACTAGTATCCTGCTAAAATTTGTTTGCGTCCCCCTGTCAGTTACGTCCTTCCTTAGTGGTGCACTCCCCTCCTTAGAAGAATTCTGGATCCTTCTCAGCACCCTGCATACTCGATTGAGCAGTGCGAATTTTATTACATTTTTTACGACTCAGATGCCTGCAACTCAAATAAACCCCGCTTTTCTAGATGTGATGTTTATTCAGGGAAACCACTTGTCGATATTTTTACTCTCCCGTACGTTGCTTATTTGGGGGATGGTGCTTCACTGAAGGCAGTGCCTTATGAAGCACACGGTAATTATATGTAATTTCGTTTGAATTCCCAACTGTCTGGTAAACCCTGAGCTGCAAGATTTTTACATGATTTTCCAATAAGATTTGTTCTCTCCCAAAATGTAATGTAGTCTTTTAATTATAAAGTTTTGTAATCTTCTAGGGCGCAAATGAAAAAGATATTGTTCATTCTGGATTGGAGTTCACCACCTGATTCGAGGTTTTCTTCACGAAATTACGTCCATATTTGCCCTTATCTTGGGTGCTGAGCCGTCAAAACAGGGCCCACGTTTGATATTTGGAAAACTGCGTCGAGTATATCACGTCATAACATAATGGTAGCATTCCTGGGAAACTAGTAATAAGTGTAAAACAAATTTCCCTTTTGGTCCGGTAATAATAAGCAGTTATTGGATGAGTTTGAGCACGACATTCTACACTTAATATATGGTCCCGAGGGGAACAGTTAGTTTTGTTTTTCCTCGAGTCTTGATGTTTCCCGAGACGAAGTCGAGGAAGACATCAGGACTCGAGGGAAAACAAAAGTAACTAATTTCTTGTGGGACCATACATTAAGTGCTTTGTTATATATTTAGACTTTCCCTTAAACAATCATGTGCTGTTGAATTTGGCGCCCGGGCAACAACTGCGCAATTGTATCCCGGTCGGGGTACATTTGAATTTGATCAGGGGCACGTGACCAAGAATCAACCAGTCACAGTTCTCGTTTTGTTGAGTGAAAATCAAGGTATATAACAACATGAATTATCAAAACGGAGGTCTGAGTCATCTGCCGGAACCGAAGGCTGAAGCAGACAAAACAAACGTGAGGTTTGGTAATTGATGAGATTTTTCAAAAATGTGTCATAACGATGATGATAACATTAATGGACCACTCACCCAATGAAAATTTATAGGGCCAATATTGAACTTTGTCTTTTCTTCGTAAAAAAGTGAATTTGACTGATTTTTCTTTTCCTTTTTAGCAAATTATGCACTGTGCTAGTGAGTACGAACTGGGTCTAGACATAAGGACGGCTGCATATATCGTGTCCATGGAAAAAGTCTACAACACATACACTGTGGCTGGTTTCACATTTACATAATTCTCTTGTGAAAATTGATCAGTGATGAAATCTTAGATAATTTTCATTTGGCTAAATTTATGAATGAGCTTTCCCATGGAGGATATATATTGTAAAAGCATTTACTGTAGCGGTCATGCGTCCATGATGATTGTGTGCCTGTGTAAACTGGATGAAATGAATGACAACGTTTTTGTTGCCTTTTCTGAATTTTGAATCACATAGCAGTCGCATTCTTTGGTCATAGCTGTTCTTGAAACAACGACAATTGACATAGCTGTAGCGCATTTTAGGTCATAGTTGTTTTTGAAACCGCGACGTTACGACAGAAATAGACAGCAAAATGAGAAAACGAGAAAATGTTCCATCAATAAATAACGGAAAGCTCTTGTCACTTTTAATGGGCTTGATTAGTTACTTCTAATTTCTGTGGGATCTTCTTAGGGAACCTGCGATCTTCTCTTTTTATGAGTGAAATCTTGTTTCGCCACAATTTGATGAGAACTGTAAGTTAAGATTATTTTACTGAGAAGTGAAAAAAAAAAACGCACGTTTTAACTATTTATCTGATGTGTTTTTCGTACTCCAGTTTTCCCCGTTAAAATTAAACTCGTCGTGGAGTGTGCTGCTTCTTGATCGGTTCTTTTTGTTACCATTTAGTTCTTCAGTGCACAGGGACGTAAAGAAATTCAAAAGTCAAGCATCTTTCATAGCGTGCATTTCCTTTTATACTATTGAAAGTTACTTAACGCTCTATCTCCAACTAGTTAATTTTAGTGTTCTATTCTCTTGGACACCTCATCGTGCACGTCTTTAATGTGCGGTAACATACGCTTTATGTACCACTTCTATTTGCTCTTGTCGGTTTACTAAATTGTAATGGTGAGTGGAGCTAAAGTATTGAAAGTAATAAAAGAGACTCGTCTTTCAGGAAGTTGTATCACCTTCAGGCTTCGGGCTCCGACCTTTCTTACTGAGGAACCGGAGTGCGCGTGCGCAGTTTTCTCCGGAAATTAGTTGCGTGACTTGCATTGTCATGATGTCTTGTATCCGCCATGTTGGACCCATAAAAAAACACCAGTTACGGGATTATAAAGCCTTTTGCAAATAGAAAGAGAGAATTCCTACGGTCATAGATTTAGTATGTCTGCCACTGAATACAATAACTTACTCCTCGCAATAAGCCGGAAATTCGACGAACTGATTGCACTCGATGACCTTCTGTTTATGTGCAGAGGGAAGCTGGCGCCTGGCAGCGAAGGCAACATCCACGATACTCTGTCGTTGTGTAAAGAGTTGGAGGAAAATAACAACTTAGGAATTGATCACCTCCAGCTAATGAAAAGGCTGTTAAGAGGTGTCGAAAACTGGGCTCTTCTTGAAAAAGTGGAGAAATTCGAGCGCAAAAGAAAGGAATACAAGTCCTTGCTTGAAAAGGTCATTTCTTCACTCGACGCGCTCAATGATCTGGAACGACTGATCGCGATATGCAGGGGAAGTGTTCGCGAAGGGAGTGAAGGCAACATTCAGGATGTTCGCTCGCTGTTTAGAGAACTGGAGAATCAAGACAATCTTGAGATTGACTATCTCGATGTTGTGAAGAACATTCTAGCTGAAACAGAGTCAAACGAGCTTTTGAAGGAACTCGAAGAGTTCGAAGAACGAAGAAATCTGGAAGATAAATCCGAAGCGAGGAAAGGTATTTCAATCTCTGTTTTATGTTTTTAATGGTCAACAATAACTTTTATATATGTTCTCTATAAAAAGTAGAAAAAGTCCCCAGAATTTGTTGCGCTCTTGTCCTCTACAAGCTGAACATCATCCAGGTTCGAGCGACGGAATGAAATGTTCAAGTAGTGCAACCAATTAATCTTCGGTTATAGGGAAACAACACCGCAAAGAAATGCGACAAAACATGAGAGACAGGTTGATTCTTTTTGTAGACGCATAACAGTCTGGTCTGAAGTCTGGTCTATCAGACAATCAATTGTCTGCATAAGATGAAATTCTATGGCATACAATTCTAATAAATTAATTAAAAAGAATTAACCCTATTTCAAATGTGAAATTTAAAAACGAGCATCAGAACTTTGAGGGCAATGCTTAAAACAACTTATGTCTGTGATAGATGTGAAGGTCAGTTTGATCCTCAACAAACAAAATTATTTACGATCCTACCTGCAGTGTAAAATAGAAAGGAAGGTTGCAGGTAGGGTTTATCTGTCGAGGCGTATACAACCCTGTTCCCAGCTTCTTTTCCCCTATCCTTTCCTATGGAATGTTGAAGTGTGTAGGCTGGTTGTCTTTGACATCATCTCGTAGGAGGCTGTAAATCCTCTGAGTTTTAGCCTCGAGAAAGTAGGGAGATATGCCACATGTGATATGAAAAATCATGTTATTAACTCAGAGGACTGGCAGGGGAGCTTTCCACCACAATATTTACCTCCTAAAGAACTGTTTTGTTTTAGTATCCCTCCTTGAGTAGGTTACCAACTATCTTGAGATCCTTGTCCTTAACCTTCAAGTGGGCTTATTTAACGGTGCAGCTGACTTAGTTACTAAGCACTCTTAATGTAAATCTCATGAAAGAGAGAAAGAACCTGAGACAGCTTTCTTTGATAGAGTTGTAGTTCACTAAACTGACTGACACCTGTTGTTCCATTTATATAGCACAAAGAGCTGCTCTTATGTCATCCGTTAGAAGCACATTGGTAGGAGGTAAGTCAGTAAAAAAATTTTTGGTAAATTCTTTTAAAAGGGCTCACCCTGTCCCTTGGACTTGACAGTTTCAGACAATAAGGGAGTAGAGGACAGGGCCATTATCTAAAAGTCTTTGCTCCAACAAAGAGTCAACGTGAAACCGCATTCTTTTTTGTGGCTCGAATTAGTTGGAAAAACAACACCACTATCCTTTGTAGAATGAGTCATATCACAAAACATATATATATTTTTATTATTTTCAGTGGTGAACATTATTCAAAGTAGTTGCTGGCGGCCTTACAGTCGTTTCTGCCATGGAGGTGTTGAGTCGTTGGTCCTCATTTGATCAGCTGGTTGCAGCCGTACAAACCTGTGTGCTTCCAGCCGGCACAAGGCTGGTTCAAATCACAGATGGCTGTGTGTGCCTCACAGTTCAAGCTGAAAGTTTATCAGCTCTTAAACTTTTGTGGAAGTTGTATCAGGATGGAACCCTTCAAAAACATCTGCACGATTTCTTTGTCACTGATGAGGTGAGAGAACTCGCCGATGGAGAGGATGTGGAGGTGAATGTTACCATCGATGAAGGCGAATATCAGAAAGCTTGTGTCGAGCTCATACAAGGGGCCCAAGGTGACCTTGCATTGCTATGTTTGACTCATTTTTTAGCGAATTTATGAGCCCGGATTTCCATACGGATCGTGTTAAGTGTCCCTTGATGCATATCTTTTTTCGTTTCCGCGTATTAATGTATTTGTGGCTGTTCACTAAATAGATTGTCAACCTTACCACCCTTAATCTTGCAAGTCCGAAATAAGATACTGGCACCATTTTTCAGCAATTTAACTAAAGTTTTTATCTGTTCCTTCTGCTTATTTATAGTGCGTTCATTTGAAGTCAAAGTTATCGTGCTAATAATATAAGTTTTAAAGTTACCATTATTGATTTTTATTCTACTACTTTTAGGAGGTGCAACGATTGACAGTGTTGAAAGAAGAAGGCGAAACTCTGATTCAGCTGTGTATTTCAACGCAAAAGAATTACCATTGTCGAGGCTTGAATGTCTAGAAACTGAATTAAAATATCTTCACAACAGAATTACGCTTCTGGAGGAAAAAAACCAGAATTTGGGATCGCACTCTTTGGGGAAAGTGGAAATCGCACCTTTAGGATCACACGATGAAAGTTTTGGTAAGAACTGATTGTGAAATTCAACCCTATAGCCTTGAGTGTGGTTGTTTGTTCGTTTTTCTTGTTGTTTTGTGTTTTGCCGTTGTCATGAATTACCATCCTCAGCATTTCCTTTTGATTGTTATGTTACCAAGTTCCCTAAAAAATGAAAACTTAGATCACCACTGAAAACCGCCTTGGCGAGTTTGATCCCCTCATTGCATATAATTATCACTATTATTGCTATTATTATTGTTATTATTATCATATTTATTATTATCATTATTATTATCATCATTATTACCATAGTTATCACGGCTCTAACTGTGAGGTAATCTGTCTTAGATGGCAAACCATGGAACCCCACGACAATGGAGAAAGACATTATAAAGATGGAAGGATCAGAAAGACGCGAAAGTAAACTATCAATGAAATTAATGGGCGCAGAAAAAATGGATTTTGTGCAGAGGTATATAGAAAATGTGCAAGAGACATATAGCTTGACGACTGAGGCAAGTGACAGTGGTTTGGGAGCACGCACTGCTGTGTCCGAAGAGGAAACAGAAGACGTGAGAGGTAAAACTGATTTAACTGTCGTTTCGGTTGTTATTTTTAATGAAACAATGTTAACGGTGACTCGTTGCAAAGAGCAAAGCGGGAAAGGAGGAGGAATGACAATCACAGCTTATCGCGAGAAGTCAAATCCAAATTTGCGTTTGAAGAAGAAAGAAGTATTTTCATTTTTGTTTTCATTTTAATTTACACGCAGTTTTGGGCGTAGCACTCGAGCCGCAAAAAAGAACATCAATATTGCTTTTCGTTTATCCAATGAAAATAAACCTTTAAGAAGACCAACATAGGGTACGGCTCATTACCATAATCACAACCTTTGCAAAAAGTGTTCTCTTCTGAAAAGATGTGGCCCCCTTTTCACCCCGTCGACAGCCATTTAGGCCGTTCATGCAGCCAAAATAATCACTCGACAACGACTATTTAATCATCAACAGACGAACATTATGCTGCGTGGTGATTCGCCTAGGCAGACAACCATTGAGAACTTTTAATGCGCTTAGGGAAAACAAAAATGTTTCCAACAATAAAGGTGAACGTTTTAAAAACTACTTCACTATTTGTTTTATTTTATGGACATTTTCTGCCCAAGCATAAAAAAAATGTCTCATCCATCAGAAAATGCTACATCACACCCCATGCATTATGAAAACAATCCGTCCGTCAAAAGTCGCTCTTTTCGGTCCCAAAAGTGGCCTTAGTAGAGAAATACAACGTAATCAAATTTCTAATCGTTATTTTTCCTTTTAACCTTATTCAGATTCCAGTACAATTTGCGTTAAAGATCTGGGGGAAAAGTCAATAAATGAAGTGGATCGGAAACTTTCTGCTGATACAGTTGGGTTGGAAAGGGTTTTTCGATTTTTTGGTCTTAAAGTGGACTTTAGACCTTCCAGTCATGTTTCTTGTATGAGGCAGATTGCACATAGCTTTCCGAACACTCCTGTTGACCTAATGAGGCAATGTTTCGAGGCACTTCAAATGTATGATCTTGTTGACCTTCTGGAGAAGGCGGTGAAAACAATTTCACTTCGTCCTGTCCTTTCCTCGGGAGAAGTCGAGACGTTACGCACTGGTAATCTTCCCACAAAGTCTCACAATAACGTGGTAGTACTGGTAGTAAATGACAGTGCGAACAAAGACCTCAATCAAAAGATTGAGGGGTTTTTTAAAGAATTAAATTCACAGAACGATGTCACTGTAATTGGATCTTCCAGGTCGGAAGAAAAGCTCAAGGAACTGAGGGATTTGAAACAGAACCAAATGGATTTGAAACGGAAGCAAATGGATTTGAAACGGAAGCAAATGGATTTGAAACGACTAAGCGAGGTGGACAAAATGAGGAAAGATTTTTGGCCTAAAAGCAGAAAACTTAGATGGGATAATGAGGTCTCTGAGATAAAGTTTGAAATCGCACAGCTTGAAAAAGAAATAGCAATGAACAAACCGCTTGTGGAGGAGCTACTGAAAGAGAATGAGGAGACTAAGACGATCATAACATCTACAATGGACAACTGGATTCAGAATCAAGGTTGGTTGTAAACTACTTTCTAAGCATAACAGAGTATCGACTGTGTGAAATAATTAATTGTATCAAGGTTTGAAACACAAAAGAAACAAACCTCGAGGCTCATACGTCTGAGAGCAGTTTAAAGGATATGAGGAATTGGCCCACATGACATGTGATCTGGTTTCGTTATCATTTCGCCAAAGTAAAACATGCTAAACACAGGAACCAAAAGAACGGCGTAAAATGAATTTTAACTAGCATTGATTTTAATTCCATAACACGATAAGTGTATCTTCATTTCTCACTGGCTCAGTTAAGATGTTTCCTCGTAAAAATAAGATGTCGAACAATTTTTCTTAAACTTTCCTTAAATGTCCCTCACCAATGTCTGTTTCGAAAATGAAATTAAAAAAGGTGCTTGTTTAAGAGATATGATGGGCCAAACTTACCCCATTTGTGCCTGTTCTGACACTAATCACGCGCTTCATTTCATTGGTTCACAGTACGTTTTGCAGCTGAAAACAATGGTTTTTAAAGTAACACCAGACAAAATTCGATAGGTAGAAAGTCTCGAGCGTATGGAACAATTTGATATATAGTTTGTGGGGAAATCACGCAAATTTAAACGACATCGACTCAAAAAGTTCCCCGAGCCGTTCCTTTCAATGTCATAATTTGCATAGTTTTAACCATCTTTTTTCCCTTCAAATAATTTTTTGTTAATGCCCCAATTTAAAGGGGGTAATTTGTACTCCAAAATTACGCAATAGAAAATATAGGTCATCGTGCTCGTTCAAGAGCTGAAGACTATCGTACCTTTTTACCTGGTCCATTAATTAAAAAAGAATACCATGTTGTCACAATGCGCGCGCTTATTAGCCTGATTACGTGATTCCTATGCGCACAAGTACAGAATGCGCAGTGCGATACTGAGGAATCACCTTAACACCCCTCTGTCTAGGACAATGAGAGAAAGATTATGCATTAACTATATGTCAGTGACACAAATTCGTATTGAGACAAGCTTTTTGGCTTGGTGTCGTCTGTAATTGCTTGTTTTTCTTAGTCTCTGTTCTTTTTGTTTATATTTTATTGTTGTTATTTTCTTTCAACAGAGAAATTCACTGCAATTTTTTTAGCTTTCATCATCGATGAAGAGATATCAATTTACGATTATGATGTTTTATCAGAATGTGTGGCGTCCAAGTTGTCATCGCTTCCGTATCACACGAAAATCGTAGTTGATGCTCCGAGGAGGAGAATCATAGATAAGGTTCCTGAGATGCTATCTATTGGTTCTCCAGTCAGGCCAATAAGCCCCTCGATCTTCAATTCGATGATTGAGATTTTCATCAAGCGATACCACAAAGTGGATCTCGTCTCAATGATGAGAGAATTATTAAGAACAAATCCAGAACTAAATTATACGTCAGGTATGATTGACATCCAAAGCAATCTTTCTACTCTTCCAAGTTTTGAGAAAAGGAAAGAACAGGAGCTCGAACGACGCTAATCATATGTGAATTAAACGAGACACTATTTGAAATAAGAAACATTATCAACAACTAATAAGGGACCGTTCATCCGATCATTATTTATCGCCTAGGGGGTGGGGGGGGGGGGTTAAGAGAATTTTTTGTTGTGTCACAATGAAATTTACCAGATCCCCCCTCAAGGCTCTGTCGTATTCTTATGATCCCCGCCTCATTGGCAGTCAGTTGACTGATCCCCAATCCGTTTCCCTTTAAAAAAGAGTAATAAATTAATCTTCCCAGAATTCTCCACTACCCCTCCCCAGGTGATAAATAATTGCTGGTGCCCAACAGGATACCACGCGCCATCCCATAGTTGTATTTTTCTTGTTTTCAAGTAATTTTTTTCCTATATAAGGGAGGAAATGCTATTTACATTCAAAGATGTTTATTATGCAGTTGCGGACAAATTTATTAGCAACAGCACGACGAATGAAACCTGGAAAAGGAATGTACCTGAATCTCCGAATCTCCTTTCAAGGGAATCTTCTTAAAACGTTTTTTTGTTTTTGTAATTATCCTCTCGGTGGTTTGAGTCAATGTTGTCTCTTACTTAGAGCTGAGCAGTAGAGTTGCAGAGGTATCGTAACGCGAAACTAGAATGAACTCGAGCATAGGCGCACGCAAGCAAGTTTTCTCGTTACTGGCGTTTACATCTTTCATCCACTTCGACACTTTGCCCGCTGCTTTGCTTCTCCAAGCAAAGGAAAAAACAAAAACCACTAGTATATAAAGAGGTCGCCTCTTATGAGTAAGATATTGATCTATAGCTTTTTAGGTTGGCAGGAAGGGGGGATGGGTACAGAATTCATAAAGCTGACATTTATTACACGATGTAACCGAGCATTCAAAGCTGATCTTTACAAACAAACAATAGTTTAGATAGCTATATTAAAATACTAGGTAGGAACAGATTATGATGCAAAATTCAGCTTTAGAGACTAGATTAGATGGGTTAATTGGAATTTTTGTAACAATGCGACAACACTATTCAATAGAAAATGACATAATAAGTGGCGCAGAGTGTTACTAGCATTTATTGTTGTATAGATTAGTAACTTCGGAAAAGGCAGTAGTTCCTTCAACGAGATTTAAAAACGCATTTTTAATAAGCAAGGTTCAGTTTTGTTTTTAGTTTAATGATCCCGAATATTGTGATTTCAGTAGAGTAACCCACTAACTTCAAGTTTAAATTGGTGAGAATCCACAAAGAATTTAAAAGCAAAATGATGACAATTCTTTGCAAACCAGTTGAATTGAACCGAGGTGTTGTAACGATTTTAATGAGATTTATGCAATCACCCTTCCTTCACTCTCCTCCTTGTCACGCTGTCCTTGGTTTTTCCCAACGTGCTCTGTTATTGCATGCATTTTTCCTTTCGTTTCTCTCTACACCACTATTGTTAGTGCTCCTCGGTTTCGAAAATATTTTATCAAGTCGCTCTTTAGGAACATTTGAGTTCTTTTACTATGCATGTAAGATGACCGATCGGTTTTACCGATATTCTATTTTTTTTCATTTTTCTAAAGATATTTGATTAGCTCTGACAGATTTATACAAAAGTAGGTTATAAAATAGGAACTGTACGAGGCTAAGAATAAGCCAACTTTCAAAAAAAAAATATAATAAATAACCGACGGGAAAGCGAAGAAATTTGCGGTTAATTTTACAGCTTCCTGTGACGGATGATGGTAAAGAAGTGGCTATTTTAGTATTTTAAATAACTTTTTTATCTTAAAACTCTAAGCTTCTTTTCTCGGGCGCACCAACATGATCAAGGTAAAAAGAAGTAGAATTCTTGAAGCGCCTCTCAATACTTTTTTGAAAGCTTTTACAACACTTTGCACTTTGATCCGACTGGGTGTCATAAACTAGCCTAGCCTTTTTACAGACGCCATGTAATTTAAGAAACAAGGTTAGGCTACAACACCGGCTGAACTCTTTACCCTAATCTGCGCAATCAGATCAAGATAACTTACGTCATTATTGTCTACGATGATATGACGCTTCCAATGTCGTTACTAATATTTCCACCTTCGTGGAAGGTGGAAATACCCTTCAGGTATTTGATGTTTGCTTCTTTCTCGCCATTTCTTCACCTTATAAAACCAAAGTATTGATGGATATACAGGCTTGTCAACAAAAATTCAACTAGAGGAGGAAATCAAAACTGTTAGCATTACCTGTAACATTCGACGGAACTTGACCTCTTTTCTCATTGAAATTGCTCATGAGAGGCTGGGACCGAAATGGATTTATGCAAGTGCTTTTTTCTACGAAATTTCAATTTACGTAACCAGTGAAATGGAGCGTGATATTTGAATTGTCGCGTTTCGGCATTTTATTATGTATTATGATGGAACTGGCATATTACGGACACGTAAAAAACAGGATTGAGGGGGAAGACCAGGAGAAGAGCAAAAGCCCCGAAGAAAAAAGCGTGCGGAAAGTAGGTGGCCCTCCGTGGATTGATTCACATCTTTCGAGATTGAGGGTGAAATCTATTACAAACCTCAAAGAGGAAGAACTTTTCCTGAGAAAACGACTAGAGACCATAATAGAAGAAATTAGGAAACTGAGGGAAGAAATTAAAAAGGGAACTGAGCAGATTGAAGATATTGAAAGGGAGAATAGTGATGCAGAGTTGGGCACGTGAAATGTTATGAACAAATGGAACTAAGTTCAAGGTTGGTAAATTTGTACAAACTCTAGGAAGTGACTATGGAAAGACGTGTTTTTAAGATCTTTCCGCTCACCTCTTCCTTCTTTGTCTTTGTGTACTTTTTAAATCTCTCCTGTCTATCCCATCGTCAAAAAGTCAGTTTCGGGTAGTCATTTAAAATGTTATTTTTGTGGTGCAATATTTACAAACATTCTCGCTTTCCAAATTTTGCGGAAATCACTGCGCACAGAATGGGCGCCAAATTAACAAAACCATCTTATCTAGTGGGTAGCTATATTTTTTTTCTGTTGAAAAGGTTGTATGGAAATGTTTTTTGAACTGCGGAATTTTAATCAATTAAAAGATAGAGAGGAAAAATCTGGAATTTTTGTTAAAGCCTGAATTATTTTCATGACTCTTTTTCGCAACTGCTTTAATTGTGTTTATAGCTGCAGTGATCTTGTTTTTTACTACGTGATTCCAATCAAATAGGGGCGCCCCGAGTGTGCTCCTCTGATCATCGTTGATTGCCTTTTCCGACTTATGTGTTTTACACGGGTGTTTGTATATCAATCTTCCTGGATTTAAGGGTTGATAAAAACTGTGTGTTGGTTTTAACCACGATAGCTACTCACTTTGTCACGTAGGTTGCATTGCTAACAAACACAGTAGCTGCTCATGCTTGCAAATAATGGGTCATAAACATGCACCTAATTCGATGGATTGACATATAACACGGGAGATATTTGGGAGTTGCATGTTTTTTCTCCAAGCAGGGGGCGAGGAAAAACAAGAGCAATTACCGCAATTTTCGCTCGTATTATATGTTAAATCATCGAAAAAGGGTATTATTTTCCATTGTCCGATATTTTGGCTCGGAGCCTTTGAATTCCTTCCTTTTTTAAGCCATAATGAATAATTTTGTGCTTGTTTGAGCTTGAACTTATTGAAATGCCGCAGTCACAGCATTTTGGGTATCCCTGCGTTTTAAGTATCCCCGTACCCAAAATGCTAGCGTTTTCGGTATCCGTTCTGGGGATACTCAAAACGCTAAAAGTGAATTAAACAAGAGACAGGGACAAGTACGCCTTTTGCTGATCATAATGAGAGAACACGCAGATTTGCATGTAAAGGCGAACAATTGCGTGAGGTTACATTCATTAGTGAGAAAAAAACGATCATTTACGCGTAAATCGGATTCAATAACGATTTTTGCATTTTAATCAGTATTCCATTTACGTTTTTGAGCATTCTTATGCGTTATTTGCCGCACAAAAGGGAAAAATATACTTTCATTTGCGCTAATCTTTAAGTCATTAACACAATCATGAAAGTCAATAGAGACAATATACAAACAGTATAGTGCATAAACCAATTATTTACATTTTTATTACACTGTTTGCAATTCAAGAGCATTTCTAGACGGCGTAAATATGATTAAGACAGTCATTATTAAATGCGCTTGTACAAACTATTGAGCGTTTCTTACATTCGATATTCAAACATCGAATTCCAATTAAAAAAATAGCCGTTCCAAATTTATTTTGTTCTGAATTTTAGTTTACCCTTCAATAATCTATCTATTCAAACATCTTGGCAGATATATCTGCATAAAGCAGTACCATTGTGCACTTTTAGCTGCGGTCACAGTGTCAATGTTTCTGTGCAGAGCTTCAAGCAGTTGTTGTGTTCGAAACTCTCCTAATTAGATTCCTCTGGCTCTGGCCTCATCGCTGTTATCTATGCGTCTCTGAATTTCTGGACGCGAGATGTCGGACTTGATCGCCGCCTTTAGACAGCTTATTGCCTGCTCCACGATCTTCAGGAAAAAGGAGTGCTTGCCTTGCCTCTTGTTTAATTTATTTTTATCCCCTGTGGGGATACTCAGAGCGCTAAAAGTAAATAAAACAAGGGATTGGGGCAAGTAATATGGCGTCCAATGTTGAGTCGTGGTGGACTTTCAATACTGCTCCTTGAAGTCAGAGAAATTGCTTTCTTAAGTTAGATAGCTCCAGAAATCTCCGTCGGGGTTGTATATTTAAGGCAGGAGAGCTATAAAACGTCTTTGAAGCGTTGAGAGTGTCCTAGTCACTCTAAGGCGTTGGTAGAACAGGAATATTCTCCTTACTTTGGTTTTAGCTCGGCCATGATGCATGTACAATTGTATTTGAAAAAATAATGAAACATCTCAATAACAACGAGAAACATTTGAAATAGGAGCTAACAACATGAGGGTTACTACAAACATTAACTTATGCGGCGAATGACGGATAAGAATGCCCAAAAATGTTGTTGAATGCCGCTTAAAATGCGAAAATCGTTATTGAATTTGATTTACGCGCAAATGATCGGTTTTTTTGTCGCTAAAGAATGCAACTTCAGGCAATTGTTCACCTTTTCACGCAAATGGATGCGTAT